TTTAGGCGATCAGCCATGTTCATGAAACTTGTCTTTTCGCTACTTTGGTAATTGACGGCAGGACATCTTTGCTGAAGTTTCTGGTAAGAAAAGAACAGAAAATACAGCTTTTAATGATAATTCTTCTTTGGTATCTCTAGTTCTTATGATCGACAGTGTTGCTGCTTTGTAAATATAGCAGTGAGCAGCGCAAAACTGCTAATGATATTATTTTCATGATTTTCTTAAGCAGTATTCACAAGTAGCTGTTCTTACAAACCGCATCGATAGAGAACTTTCAGTTGTGCTCCTATAGGTGTCAAGCTAGAGGTCGATCCCGTCATTTGAGCAAAGATTGTGCATTTTTTTGGCGTGAATGCTTTATAGCATGAAGAATTAGCATAGATCCCTTAGTGACTTTGAAGTTTCAACATTACTTAGCTTTTCTTCTGAATCCTGAAAATGGATTAGGAAGTCTAACTCGAAAATTTTCTTACTTGAGCAAGTCACAATGGTTTTCATAGAGACTTGCAACGAGTTCACAATGCTCAAAAATGAATCTTGCGCCATATACAAAAAAACAGTAGTCCGATCTTGCTACAAGAAGGCAAAGCTTGATTTATCCAGTCATCTGATCTACAAATCTTCCAATATTACTGGAAAAAATCTCAAACTAAGCGAGCAAATTTTCAGTCGACCGCTCTTTTCAAGTACTTCGGTTTTGGCGTTGTAGCTATCTTTGGATGAGAAAAGATAGGTGGTGGTTTTTACTGACTGGGAGTTTTCTTATAATCTGTCGTTATCCTTGTGGAAATATGTTGCATGTCTAATCGACATTATTTTCTATGCAATAAATTTCGAACAAGCTAGCTTATAGGGTTTCGATAAGAAAGTATGTTTGGTTCTGAAGTAGGCTGAGCCTGCGTTTTACTCTTGCCGTAATTGAAATATTTCATCTTTGTTCACAGATTATTTCCACTTTCAAAATGTTTGGGGGGATCTTGAGGGACATCACGCATTTTAAGAGTAGAATAGAAAATTGAGATGCAAAATTGAAAACGGTATTCTAACGAAATTCAAGTGTCCCTTTCGTGGAAGGTGGGCTTGCATCGCACTCCAACGTTCCTTTTTCGATTTAGAATCTCGTGCAGTTCCATAAGCTTCTTGTTTTATGAGCAGTTAACATCCAAACCATCAGAAGGTCGGCAAATTTTTGCGCCAAAACTTTTTCGCTTTTTTTCTCAGGTATTTTCTAGTACATAGGTTCAATCAAGAGCTCCTCAAAAAATCTTTATCTCGGAATAATTCACAGATATCAGTTTCGTTGTACAGGAACCTCACTCAAACGCCACCACCCTGGAGCGGAAGGAGCGCAAGATGGAGAAGGAGCAGGCTTTGGTGCGACGGATCACTAACGATATGCAAATAGCGCATTATGTTCGACAAATGGAAATGGCTAGAAGTCACGGAAAGCGACATCGAGGAGGTGAATATAGTTACCTATTTTATGGCATTTGTAGTCATGATGTAATTTCTTTAGCGTTCTCTACCGGTGTGTTTCGCATTCGTTCGTTGAGATTTTTTGAGGCTGGCCTTCGACGTGCTCTTTGGTATCTTGGCAAGGCTATCGCTAATCATAAGCTGCTTTTCGTGGTAAGACACTATCCTACCTATATTCTCATAAAGTACCAATAATTCTCGTTATAGGTGCTCCCTTTACTTTTCGTCTCCTCATCTCTGATTGGTCCCATTCTACATCGTAATAAAATGACCGTATCACTGCCATTTTCTATGCTTGGCGCAGACAGTAGTGACGTCATCTCGAATGGTTATAGTATTCAACGAACACAGAGAGGCTTCAACTCCAGTAATCCTGCATTCAGTGCATTGGACTTTATGGATACGTCAACATTTGGGGTGCTGTTAAAGACAACGTGAGTCATAGAAGAAATTGTTCAAAGAGGTGTAGCATGGACGTGCCAGGTTATGCCTCCTTTAGCCAATGAAATAAATCAAAGCTTTTAAACAATATTTGGGAATTTGTGGAAGGATTGTAGTTTAAGTTAGATGAAAGTAAAGTACTTATTTATATTCCACTTTCCGATTCTCATAATATTTTGTTGAGGGAGAAAGGGTAAAGAGGGTGGAGTAGGAGTGGAGGGAGGGGAGGAAGCGATACTCCATAATCCGACACTTCTGTTTAGGATGTATAGGATGTAGCATTTTTACTTTTGAGAAAAATTCATGAAGCGTAGCAAGAAGAATTCCGTAATTGAAAGCGAATACAGTTTACAAAGAAAAATGCGTTTTAGATTAGCTAGGGACACCATATTACGCAAGGATGCCGTCTTAGCATACTCTGCTTTGAAGAAACGGCTAGACAACTACCCAGTCGGAAACAAAGAGGTACGTTTGCTTTCAAAATCTGATTTTCGTCAGAAGCTTAGAAGTTTTGTTTTAGTTCTTGGAAATATGTTCACCTGATTGCGAATTGGAGAAAGAGATGGTTGACAAGATTATCAAGAAGAGTCCTCAGGTAGAGTTCTTAGAGAACGTCTTCAGAAAATGTTGAACGAACGCTTCGTCGTTTTTGAATACTTAAAAAAATTCTTTTTGCTTCGATCTTAAGTTGTGCAACATTTGCCGATTAGCAGTTGAAAAAATGATTTTACAAATTGAAATGAATTCAGCTTTACCTAATTCAGGTCGCGCTCACCTATCCGGAGACGTTTGTTAGCATGAGCAAGGATTCTACCAATCTTAGTCGTGTCTACCTGGGATCTGCTATTGGAGGTTTATTTTCCCGCTTCCTAATCAAAATGTGATATCAACTGATTATCATCCTCAATCAATATATCGATCATTTAAAGGAGTCGAAACCGATTCGGATGGTGCAATTTCGCGTGCTCAAGCATTGCTTCTTTCATTCAAGTTGAAGGATAGCATTACAGGAGAGCAAATTGCTGCTTGGGGAGATAACTTGGAGGAGCAGGTCGGCGTTTTTGAATAGAACACGATTTTATTTTGTTGTAAATTCAGTTGCAATAATGTTTAGGTTCATGTCACATCTGCAAACAATGTTTCATTGTCCTATTGGTCTCCCTCGTCATTCTCATCCTGGGTGATTCGAGCCTTGTCGAAAAGCTACCGATGGCTTCTTGTCTCAGCTTCTGTTCTAGGCCTCTTCTGTTTCTTAGCGTCGTTTGGCGCGAATGCCTATCAGGTTCAGACATTTCTCGAATTTCTAAGTGATTTCTAGGGAATATGAAAAATTCGCTGTGGAAATTCCCATGCGTTAATTTTTCCCCGAAAAAACACTGGCATTTTAATCTAATGTGCCTAACTTGTGCTTTAGATAGGATTTTCAGTTGAACTTTGTCAAGCATTGATTTTTCGTTAGTTGAATGCCACTCTTATTTGGGTAACAGCTCAAACCTATCCGTCAAGACAAATTTTTCTCAACTCTATTGAAGTTGAGCTTTTTTACTAAAATTGATTTTTTTTTAGTCGAAACCACTTGTTGGCATACAAATCGCATTCACATTGCTGGTCTCTTGTGCTGGTGGTCTGTTTGTACAGGTGGCTGGTTCGGGCACATTCAATCCGCTCATCTGGCCAGTGT